TTGTTAATCTTCTGGATGGAAGATGGGTCAAAAGGCTCAGATTGCTACGCCAACAGCCATGTTCAGGTGGGGCATACCCCATAACCCAAAAGGCCCAGTGAATCAAAATCGCTGCTTGGGTTCTGTGCCCAGATGGTGCAGCAGAATTGGTCTGTCAAGCGTGACATGTCAGTGGACATTGGCCATTGGCCGACTGCTTCAAAGTCAGGAAACAACACCCAAAGTCACCTTGGGTACATATAACACTTCTCTACCAACACTTCAAAAGGATTCAAAAGGAAGCTTCTTTGCGCAGCTCTGCAACTTTGAAAGATTTGACTAGTTTGTCGGTCGGTTCGTTGGTTGGCTGGCTGGCTGGTTGGTTGGTGGTGTTTTGATCGTGGAGGATGGATCTATGCCTGCCATGTCCACTGGAGACACATAGCACAGCATCACAGCGAATGTACGGGTCATGTTCGAGCTCCGCACTATCGGACAGCAAGAGCGTTTGCAATAGGCACCGGCCCTCCTGGGTTTGAACGACCCATCATCCCTGCCCCCAGACCTAGGGATTTGATGTTGATGTCCGACTTTGCCACTGGTTGTGCAGATGCTTGGCATTCCTCCCTGCAGCTGCTGGAAGCTTGCCAAGATCGGGCCAGGTGTTGTTTGTTTCAGCGCCAAGCCGCTTGAGTCATTTGAAACACTCTCATGGCTTATCATGTTTTGACATTTGAGACACCAGTTCTGATTGGGGTATCATTATCCTTTGCCTGTTCAGCGCCGATCCCGTTTTCTTCCCTTAGGGCACAATTTGCCAGGGAGGTGGTTGTGACCACGGGCCAAAGTCTATACATGTTTTAGGTGACTCTAGATGCTCAATCTGGACCCTGCAAATGCCTGTTGATGCCAGAGATGGTCCAATGGTTCCAATCTTCCATCGGTTTGACAACGGATCTATGGATGATCTATGCCCACCGGGTGGATACGGTCTCGCAGAGGGGTTGATCAACACTGCGTGTGACCTCGCAGATGTGGGATATGATCTTCTGATCCCCTTGAATCCTCATTGACATATGATCCTCTTCGGGGGTGATGGGAGACACTTAAAACAAACATGTGTTTAAGTACTTTCTGAGAAGGTATATGGATCCCTAGAGGATGTTCTGGCCGATGTTGCACCAGGTGCAACGATATTTCACATCGGAATTGTTAGACACAGCCCTTCACGTGTCAATTTGTTTGCTGGTGTATGAAGGTCGTATATATTATGCTATGGAACTACTAGCAATTGTTCGTACACAGGGGTTTAATCAGTGAGAAACAAAAAAGTATATACATTTACATATATTAAAATGTTCATGTATCAGTTACAATCAGTGGTAGATCCAGATCTATGTAGCTCAAGTCCTTTCCAGAACAATAGACTCTCGTCTCCGGATCGTGGAAACACTGTCACTGAACTCCGTGACCGCGGCCGCACGTGGTTTGAGGAGGACGTGCTGGACAAGGGAGATCTCGTGGTGGATACTCCACTGATCAACGCCGTGACCTGGGCCATGACCTGCGCCAAGTGCTGGACGAGGGCACTCGCGTCTCGGCAAGGCAAGCAATGGACGGCCCTAGGTCTCACGGGTGGGGTTGGTTTTATGCCCTATGTAGACCCCCAAATAGATAGAAAAGTAGATCCCCACTTAAAATATATTGGACACCGTTTCTATTTATTTGGAGATCGCAATATTTTCTACGGATCACACCCTACTAGCAGGCCTTCATCTGATCCCCTTAACTGCAGGGCTTTGGGTGGCCGTGCCAGACATTTTGCCTAGGTGGGGTAGTATCCGCCACGTGCTACTATGCAGGCCCCCAAGGGCTGGTTCATCCCTTTCTCGGCACGATAGCAGCACAACGTCTTGCAAACGGACCGAAGGAGTTTGGTTCAATCGCCAAGGGTTTTGGGGACCGGGGGGTTACTGGCAAATTCCGGGCATGGGAAGTCAAGAATTGATTGATTTGTTCATGAAGAAAGCGCCAGTCAGCTGAAGAAGCAATTTGGGGGTGCAAGACGGTGAAGCATTAATACCCTGCTTTGTTACCTCCCTGATATGCTTCAAGAGGTTTGAAGAAGGTTCAGTTGTAAGGACGGAAGGGATCTCTTTGAGTGCAGAAGTAGCTTGGAATCCAACAAATTTTGAGAAACCCTGACCCTACCTACCTGCCTCAATTTGGGCTCAGGAAATGCGCCAAGTCTTGGACAACCAGAGTCTTCGACCCAGCACAGTGTCCTGGTGCAGAGATCGATGGGCGCGACCCGAGCCACGTGATCCTCCGCCCACAATGGGCGAATCCTGAGCGATCCTGGGCACGACGGAAGATTCATTCCTTGTGTTTCTTTTCCAACGAAGTCAATTGAAGCACCCCTGAAGTTCAATAGTCTTCAGAAGTGGCCTACATGGTCGTGTCGTCAATGAAAAAAAACAGGTTGTCTCTACATATTTTGGCGTTGTCTTTGCATACCTGGAGGCTCGATCAGCTGCCAGCTCCCTCAGAACGAGCTAGCTAGTAGTAGGGAGCTCCCAAGCAGTTGAAGATGTTTCATCGGTTTTATAGAACAAGCTTGTACAAGCCTACTAGAAACATCCAATAACTACCCACCAGCATATAGAATACTACAGTTTTATCATGTTATACAATATAATATATATATATATACTGTATGCATTTGTATGCAATGTACAATATATAGAAGCAACTAATTAAGCGTGGTCATTCAGACGCATTCAGATGTGTGGTACAAAAGGACCAGAGTCAGTGGGCTATAGCCCCGCATGTGTTGCTGACTGCTTCAGCCTGCGGCCAGCCGGTCGTTGAGCGTGAAGGTGGGGGGCTGTTTAGACGAGACAATCAAGCGACATTGACACCAGGTCACGTTCAACACCTTGCTGACAGCATGTGTACAAGCACGCGCAGCAGCTGCTTGTCAAGCTTTGCTCCAGGACGCTTGGATTGACTGAGCTTGGGAGGGAGGTGTAACAATGTGTCAAAACTAACTGAAGGTCCTGGTAGATGTGTAGATTGCATAAATGTGCTGGGCAGTTGTTTGATTTACCTCCTGTGCACTGTGCATCCTGCGTGTTTTTTTTGTTTAATAATCATCCTAAGAGTGCTATGATGGAAAGGAATCGGCGTATTGGAATCTCACAAATGCCACTTGACAAACAACAAATGGGAAAACAAACTGCGATTTACACCGGGAACGGTGTTCTTTTGTACTTGTCCCTTTGTTTGGATTGAGGAGCTGCAGCGGTCTGAGTGTTTGCCCAATCAAGACACCGAGAAGCTCATAGCAGAAATACGGGATCAGGTGACTTGGAAGTCTTTCAATCAGATCCATAGATGGGTTCGTACCGGGATCCGTCAAATTGATGGATTCTTTCTGGCCGGATGGATTCTTGATGAGAATTTATACGATTAGCTTTGTCTTTTGGGACTTTGCCCTTAAACTGGTGAGGTGATGAGGAAACATGGAATGTAACATGTGAAGACCCACCACACACAAGAAGATGGGGGGAAGCATATAGTGGTAGCTAGTTCCTTATGATTAAAAGTAACATGGTATGAATCCCTTTTCGAAGAGGTTTGTTTGCCTCTCACGTTCGCGAACGGCGCTCCACCGGATCGCGAAACACACGGGCACCGCTTTGGTGGGACGTCCCACTGAGTACCCCTCAGTCTGAGATCCATGGGAGATGACCTGAATAGGAAGAGTTCGATAGAAATCGTCAGCAACACTGAGCGAAGAAGACCACAATGGGTTCGACATTGCTCTTGGATGCTAGACTAGTGGTCGATGTATGTTCATTGCCCCCCAAAGCCAGGGGGGCATGGACCTGAAGTTGACCAGATCGTACCAGATACTTTTCACACCTCGCACCCAAACCATACCAGCCATGAGGCACTCAAGGCGGTGGACCATTCACCTGAAGCAACACGCAAAGAGCGCGTCCAGAGCGCGTCCAGCGCGTCCCCCCACAGAACATCATAGAACTTGTTCAAGTGGTGAATGAACCTTGGCTTTGGTTTTTTTTTGATCAACAACTTGAGAACTTGAAGGAGCCCTCTTTCTCCTCCGGCTGCCCAAGGGTGGTGAATTTGGTGGTTGCCCCGGGTGCCGACCGGGCTGAGGTGAAGATCCAACCACTCCCGACCTCGAGACAGAAGACGGCCATGCCCAAGAGCTTGGCGAAAAAGGTGAAAACGCGGACTGCGGAGGCAAACAGCAGCGGCCCAATGCTCCGGGGGAGCTGCCTTCCGGCGTACACATGGGAACACTTGGTTCCCAGTTTTTTGCAGAGGTGCAAATATATCGAGGGCCAGAAACTGTTGCATGATAGTTTTTCAGATAGTTTTTCAAGGAGACAACTCGAACAATTCATCCCACCAAGTAATTTCCAGTTTTTTTGAGCTACTCGAATTCGATTAAAAGACAACTACTCTTTTGGCACTGACAAGTCCTGCCGCTGCAATAGCAGTTTTTTTGTGGCCTGGAATTCATTTTTGGGTGGGTAGATGGCGATCTCCTCCAACTTGGAGTTGCGCCACTTATTTGTTTAATGAGTGTATTACGTCTCTCCCTTGCAAATGCCCCCCACAGACACCGATGGCCGCATCCAAGCAAATTGCTCCCAAATGTTCCCCAACACCTGAAAAGATGCCATTTGACGTGCTGGATTGATTCTGGTGCCTGTGAAAATGATGAACAATGCAACAAAACACAACATATAGTTTTGAAGCCGAAGTTTCATCAGGTTGTATATAGGCCATTCCTGTGAGCCAACACACGCTGCCAGACGCACCAACCCAATACTTCCATGCTACCATACTTTTCGTATTTTCTTGACACCTTGTTGTGTGCTTGGTTCTGTCAGAGCACTCGAGCCTCAGCGAAGCTAAACACAACCCAAGTTGATACAGCCCACCCAAATCCCAACCTCCCATATCTTACCCTCTGTTCGCTTCAGGACGTTTTCGGCCCAGTCTTGGAAGGCCCTGCGCCCAACCAGTACAACACGCCCGGCAGCCCGGCGGCTCGCGACGCGGCGGCTCCCGGCTCGCGACGTGGCTCGGCGTTCGCACCAAGGATCGCCTCAAAGAGGCACATCCAAGGAGCTGCGTCGCTCAAGGAGTGGACGGTGGGGCCGTTGGGGACGGTGGAGCCTCAAAATGGGGTTAAGGGGCCGGGGGAGGTGATGCAAAGAAGTTGGATGGAAGAGGTAAAGTGAAAGTGAAATGGCATCCAAATCCAGTTTGGCCTGGCTTCTTTGATCCTGTGTGTGTTTCTACCTGAGATTCCACAGACCTTCTCAACCTGAGGGAGAAGAACCCCTGCCACAACATAGGACAAGCGGAAGCCCATGCTGGTGGGCTCAACAGCCAGCAGTGCTGGGTGCCTGAGGAGTGTCTGAGGGGTGCCGGAAGGGGTGCCCCAGATGCTGATGGATCGGTAATTGGATCAGAAGACTTGCAGAAGACTTCAACTCAAGTGACTGGCATGCTCCCCCCAAGGCTGCAAGATCCAAGAGGTTACAGGACCAAACATGGGACCTGACACATGCGATTGGCAATGTGTGTTTGTTTCAATCCAACCATTAGTAGGTAGGGCGATATTGACTATACGGTCATGTCAATTCTCAGACAGATGATTTGGAGTCCTTTGTTCAAAGACCTCGTAACCGTGGAATTGATATAAACACGGGTAAATAGTTCCCATCTTGGACAAGTAGAATCGCCAAAGTGCCCTAGAAAATTGGATATTTGACATGACCCTGGAAAAGAAGCTGGGTACTTGATGGTAGTTGTACCACCCCTTTTCCGAGGTACGTTGGATTCCTCCAGGTATGGACCTGGTGCTCTCACTGAGCCAGTCGTCGCGCTTTCTTCGAGTCGCTGAGAGGTAAACCTGTGCAGCTGGAGCCTGCAACTCCAGGTCAGGTATATGAGGAATTTCTTCTCTTCCATGTTCATTGATCTTCCTCTTCCAGTGCTGCGTCCGTCCGTGTCAAAAAGGTCCCGTTCTGGGAAACCGAAGCGTCCCATCCACGACCACCACTGAGGTCCAGATCGTGGTAGACCCAGAAAACACCCAGACTGCCATCCACGGGTCCCCATCCGTTGGGTTCGTTCACAGTTCGTTCACGCGCTCAGGTGGGTCCAGGAAGTTATGGCGAGCATGTGGACACGATGCTGTTGAAGAAGACCTACAATGTGACGACCCAGGCGCCTTATCTCAACAACTTCTTAGGTCTTCTTAGGCCATCGACCGACCTTTTCACCTCACCTCTTAGAGTCAAGTCAACGGTAGTAAGACGCGAGGTGTTGGATAGCTGCAGCTACACCATGAAGGTTTAGCATTCACAGCGGAACGATGTCTGAGGTCCCCCCCAAAGGCTTCCAATGCGAGCGATTGTTTTGTTTCTCGTGGATTCATGATGTTGTAACCTATGGAAGCTTCAAGGTGGCTAGACGATGAAAGCGCTTGTTAATATGATTTCCCACTGGGGACGGGGAAGAAACTCAGCCTCTCTTGCATTGACGGTCCTTCTCCGCTCAAGTTCGCCAGTTTAGAGGTTTCTGGGAAGGCAAAAAGCACTTAGGGACCTTGCGATTTCCTGAAAACAATTTTGACGCAGAATGGATTTATGGGATTCTGCCGCACATTCTGGTAGTGGTAGTCACCTTGTTCAGAACATTCAGTTGACACAGTCACAGTTGACATCCTCTTTCCGTTGACAGGCTCGCAGCATCATCTCCTCCAACCGACCTGAGTGAGGCAAAAGCACACTTGGGGGTTGGTGACTAGAGCCAGAGTGTGTTTCTTTTGGTCCGGGACTGGCATGGCGAACTGTTTGACACTATATAATATGCAACTATCAGTGTATATTATATATATGTATTATATAGTTAGCACATGTTAGAAAAAGATCGCTGAAAGGTGCCACTGACTTTGTAGATGGTGTAGGGACTAGAATTTATCATGGTCGATCGTCTCCCAACCAAAAGGCTACTGAAGCATGGACCTTCGATAGAAGAAGCATGTCTAGAAAGGTGCAGTGGCACCTTCGTGGACTACACCTATCAGCGGGTCTCCAGAGCTTGGACACCTACAACTGCCCCTCCCTGCAAAGGACAACTGATACAGACTGCCAGTGATTGGATGGCTTTTGTGCGATGGTTTTGGATGTGTTCAGGTGCAAGCCGCGAATCATTCGTCCCTGCGATGGTCCAATGAACATTAGATTTGGAAAATTTGGCGATTGCAGGTGGCTATGTCTGGTGACACAGGACATCCTGATTTATGTGAAGCATTGTATGACTTTGTACGACTTATAGCTGTACCATAGCCTGTCGTCGTTCATGTCTGTTATGCTGATCGAGAATGGATTCCTGGGACTGTTCAAACAATACTGTGACGCATTGCTTCCGGAATTGTCTGAAGCCAAGCGTCACAGTCTTCCATGCATGTGTGTTGCGTTTTTGGATTGTCAATGGTAATTGGTCAAGGTGATGGCAGATCCAATCAACACCAGACCCAAGCTAATGCGGCTGTGGGTCAAAAACCTAAAGCTGCAGCAACAACTTGATCACCAATGGTCTGTTACATTGACCCCGTCAACCCTGAGGTCTTTCCAGAACCTTCCAGACTACCATCGTGCGGTGGACAGATTAGAGTTTCCTTCAACGTTTACAATCTTCCTTCGGCTTCGTGGGATTTCCTTTCATTTCATCCGGCAACCGTGCCCATATTAGGAACAAGGACGCTACGAACGGGGCTCCGTGCCCGCCCTGCACCCAAAGAGGCCAGCTGAGTGAGACCGCCGATGTCTGCCGTCCGGATCGAACAGGGCGCGGGCCGCTTCCTGTCGCGTTGGCGCGGGCAGGGAAGAGCTGGGTATGTGTTGTCTTTCTGAACCGTACACCAATGTCTTGTCTTTCTGAACTGGGATTGCCTTTCAAGAACTGGGAATGTCTTGTATTTCTTCTTTTTGTTGGTTTTTATAGTGCTTTGTCCCACACCCGTTGAGGTTTGGACCATGGGAAGAAGAACAGAATCTTTGCGTCCAACGTGCGTTCGACTCAACGGTGAGGGTTCTCTCTAGGGCCCTCAAGAGTGGTCCCAAGATGTTCGTCTTGGAGTAGTGTTGCGTGATGTTGCACGGTGATGAAAATATAGGACTCCATGTTCATCGCACCCAAGATCTCTGATCTGAAGTTCTGAAGGAAGAACTCAATGGACATTTTGCTCCAACTGTGTCCCGAGGAGTCTGGCCTTGGCCTCGGGTCTGGGGATTTGGATCCAATCAATTCTCAGATGGAGCTGAGTAGGGTGCGTTCGCAGCAAGGAGTGGTAGCCGAAGAGCATGAAGTGCTGGGTAGAGCACGTCGATCCAATAGCCCAGCCCCGGTGGTTGACCTCCAAGCTTTTGAGTCTTTGTGTCATTTTTGTATTCGGGAGATGGCCAGATATGAACGCTCCAACGCCAAAGGACGTCAAAATGCCAGCCCCACTTGAGTGTCGAAAGCGTTGGGCTTGTTTGAGAGATGTTGCTCCATTGGTGAACAGGTTGGCTTCTTCACATGATGCTGGTCCGAGCTTTTGCTTGCCTCCAGTTAGACACAGTCACGCAGTCCATTTGCGTTGACGGCCGTGAACATGCTCAGAATCCATTGAATCTATGACAAAACAACGCAGACGAGCAGATGGGCCCACCAACCCCCATGAAACACACAGGAGAAGCATCTCGGATTTGTCGGCCCATGCTATAGGTTTCAGGAAAGTAGTCCGCACAGCGCACTGACCAGAAGCTTCTCTATAGTTCTTGGATGTTCTTTGCCCATGGACACTGGTTCATCGGTGTCAATCGGTGTGTAATGGTGTGTATATTCACAGTGAGGAACGTACCTGTCAACCACACCACCCATCGCAGCAGCTAGATGAGTGCTTTATTACATTCCTCCCCTCCCAAGATATTTGTGGAAGATTGGACCCCAGTGCAAATGTTGATTATATAGTTCTTTCTTGTTGAACAGCATTCCTCCACGAGCATTCCTTGTCTCAGAGATCTTTGGATCACCGCGCAAGCTTGGCAAGCAGTGTGGTTTTCACAGGACAGCCAGGCCAGCACTCTAGTGCCTCGGTTTTGGACAGCTATCCGCAGCCGCAACACTCTTGCGCCATGTATACAGTAGGCTTGCGGAGCGCCCTTCCAGAGAAGGGCCAGAGGCCAAAGCAATTTACCTGGAGGACTGGCCGTGAAGCTGAGCGATCTGCAGAAACCCAGGGAAGATGAAAATCGAAGGTGAGATGTCTCAAACAAACACTCGAAAGCCCTCGAATAAGCGAAACAGAAACAATAGAGACGGAGTTGATCGGAGTTGTGCTTCTTTTTTGACAACGCCTCTCGGATTGCGGCTATAAGAGTGGATTTGTCTTCTGTCCAGAAAATTGTAAAGTCCATTTTATAAGCTGATTGGCGCGATTTGGGATCTAAGTCGGATCCTTTGGATCACCAAGTCACTTGAACACGTAGAAGATCAATTATTTTTGACATCTAAGAACCCAATAGCACCCTAGAAGCGATGGCCAATAGAATATGAAGATGATTCAGATCAATCATTTTTGGACCTCGACTTCGCGGAGTAGACCAGATCGAGTTTCTTGGAAATTGCTAGATCGCTGTGATATCCTTCGAAATTGAGAAGCAGTTCTGTCCTTGACTAGAGTTCGGATTTAAAACCACAGTTTGCCCCGGAACATGGACATGAATTAGTGGGTCTTCGAGGACTTTTCTGATGTATTAATACATGACTATGTCTATCTATGCTCTCCTGTCCCTGTGAGTGGATTGATGTGAACACCTAGCCTTTGGTAAAGAAATCCAGCCTTCACTTGATTTCTCCAAGCCTTATAGGCTTTATTTTCGCTTTTAGTGGGCTTCACTTTTGACCACCATAGACCACCATAGTGCTGAGCCCACGTCGGCCACCGGAACCCATGAGAGCGAGAGCGAGAGCGACCGGCCGTGGCTCAGCGGACCGGACGGCGCGCCGGGACAGGAAGCAAGAAGACCATGTAGGATCAGGCCGCGCGCGCGTCAGCGAAGCCGCGAGGCCGCGAGTTGCGGTTGTGGGAGGGATTGAGATGAAGTAGACATGAAGTCTTTCTCGATCGGTAGAGAGATGAGATGCTGATGTTTTGTTTGGAAGGTTTGGAGACGCTGCAGGGAATTCCATGTTGCTCAACGGAATCACCAAGGATCACCAGAATCACCAAGAGAACAAGTTGTTTATATACAGACACATTAGATTGTAGCCCTTCGCAAGAAACAACTTCAATGGTTGTTGTTCCATGAGTGATTCATTTAGTGTGTATATATTGTAAAGTTGATGACCAATGTGCATGACCTTTCACGACCTGACAGGTGATCGAATGGCCGGTCGGAACATCACGCGCTCATGTGTGTGGTGGTTTCGGCTCGAATCCCTCACCTAGGCCTTGAGCCCTAGCGAGCCCGTGAAAAGGTTCGTTTGCGCTCATTCCGCGCTTTGCACTGGTAGGCGGAGCCTAAAGGTTGCTCCGAGGCTGGTGTGCTGCCATCTTGTTCGCCCTGCGGATTTGGTTGGTGTCCCCTCCCTTGGAGCTGGAACTTGGAGCGGTCGTATTTGTGCCCTTCATTGTTCGGTGGATAGCAGTCTGGGGTGATTTTGGCTCACTATTGTACCGGAATTGTCATTCTCGAGTACTTTGTGAAGGCTGGACACTTCGGAAGTTGCTGAGGTAATTTGGTGCAAGTTTTGTTGGCTCGCAGTATCACCTTTTGATTTTTGCACGATCTCAATTTACAATGCAGTCAAATGGGCAATCATTGTATGTTGACCCGAAGTCCAACGTTGTGCATTATGACGGCAATCCAAAGTTGGCTGAAGAATACGAAGAGCGGGTATGGCTGGGTTTCCAAACTGTGATGAAGGACGAGAAAGTTTCCTATGCAGCAAAACTCAAGAACGCATTGCATGGCCGTGCATGGACGCTCTGTCACAGGAAGCCCGAGATCGCAGCTCAGAAACTCCTTCAGCTGAGTGAATCGGATCCGAGCACGACAACAGGACCACGAGCAGCAGTACAACTGGTGGTGAAGGTTGTGAGGAATGCTTGTGAGAAGGGTGCTCCATTGCTCAAGACCCAGACCTTCGAGGACTACTTCTTTGAGAAAGGTCGAAGGAAGGCATCCGAAAGCATCCAAGACTACATCAGTCGCCGAGAGAATGAGTATGAGAAGCTGACAAGTTTGACACAAGGTCATACAAAGTTGTCGACTGATTTGCAAGCCTTTTTCCTACTGAGGAATGCTGGTGTGAGTTCATCGCAACATCGTGCCATCCTGGGACAGGCAGGGAATGAGTATGATTGGGACAAGATTGTTGAAGCTATGCTCATTCAATTGGACGGTGGTGATGACATTGGCAACAACAAAGGTTGGAAAGGCGGTTTCAAGTCAAGACAACAAAGCAGCTACAGTACAGGTGGCAAAAGAAGCACATGGGCCTGCCCGATAGAAGAGGAGTGGTCAAGCTATGATGGTGAGACGGAGGACGTGTATGCAGTCGATGACTGGTACCATGATGATGAAACAGCAGAAGAAGGAGTCCCCATCTATGAAGTTGAAGAAGACATCCAGTTCGACATTGAGGAGATGGAGCATGCCGTGGAGGTGATGGCAGTTGATGATCTTTCTCTGGAGGAATTGGACATCTTCGCCATGACTGCTCAG